CTTCACACGGCCCTCACCTTGCAGGCCCCTGCGGTAGGTGTGATGCAGACACTTGAGGCCACTGACAATTTCCTTATTGACCTGAGGGACAAAGAGTGTTAAGGGGTCCCTCTGGGAAGCCGATCCTGTGGGTGGCTGGCATCGCCCATGACAGCTGCCCTCACCTTAAAGGTGATCTTCACTTTGTAATCAACACCCTCCTTCAGGACGAACACCTGATTTTTCAGTGCAGCCAGCTCCCCTGTCAGGGAAAGTGCAGCTAAGGAACAACCTCCTTCAATGGCAGAGACCCTGCCCCAGGAGTCCCCTAGGGGGCAGTATCTGTAAAGTCTATGTCAGCGGTTCTCAACCTGTGGGTCGCGACCCCTTGGGGGGTCAAACGATCCTTTCACAGGGGTTCGCCTAAGACCATCCTGCATATCAGATAGTTACATTACGATTCATAACAGTAGCAACATTACAGTTATGAAGTAGCAACGAAAATAATTTTATGGTTGGGGGTCACGCAACATGAGGAACTGTATTAAAGGGCCTCGGCATTAGGAAGGTTGAGAACCACTGGTCTACATGATGGGTCTGAGGATTGGGGTTTGGGCACAGGGTTCTAAGCAGTCTCCACCCCAAAGATCAGTCCGTGGTTTGCAGCAGGCGCTTACCTGTGAGGTCCATGGTCATGGGCCCGGGAGCCTGCTCAGACATCAGAGTCAGCCTGGTCACCTGCACGTTGGGCAGGCTTGGGTCTGAGAGGAAATTGGAAGTCTGCTGGATGCACCCCCCAATCCCCACCCCGCCCCTCTCACCCCCATGGCCCGAGCATACCCACGGCCGGCAGCAGGGGACCCAGAAGCACCCGCTTGTACTTGGCCAGGCTCTCATCGTCTGGGTCCAGCTGCTGGATCTCTAGGAGGCTCTTCCTCCCCGGGGCCCGGTACCCTGGCACAGCCTCGTCCAGCACCTCATCTGGCAGCAGCTGCCCCCCTTCCTTTTCTGTCAGAAGGACTGGGGTCAGGGAAGTGAGTGAGCAACTGCTGCCAGCTGCCCTGGCATTCACTTGTCAAACGGGAGTCTCCCATCCGATCAGGAGGACCTCCCCCTGCCCGGGAGTCTCCCATCCGATCAGGTGGACCTCCCCCTGCCCGGGAGTCTCCCATCCGATCAGGTGGTCCCCCTGCCCCCGGGAGTCTCCCATCCGATCAGGTGGACCTCCCCCTGCCCGGGAGTCTCCCATCCGATCAGGTGGACCTCCCCCTGCCCGGGTGTCTCCCATCCGATCAGGTGGACCTCCCCCTGCCCGAAGAAACTTCAGAGGAAGCCAGTAGGGGCTCAGGGAGGGAGGGAGTGTGGGATCAGGGAAGAAGGTGTGAGCTCAGAGAGGGAGGTGCATGGGGGCTCAGGGACAGGGATGGGCTCTGGGGGTTGACAAAGGCTCACAAGAGCCAAGTGACGTTCCTGGAGGCATCAGCTGCCTTCTCCTGGCCCAGCCCTTCATCTAGGGACTCTGAGGCCAAAGGTGGGGGCAATGAAGACCCCAAATGGGGGACAGCTCCAAGGACTAGAGGCCCCACCATTGAGTGGTGACCTCCAAGGTCTTTCCTGGAGCAGAGGCTCTGCCCTCACAGTCCTCTGAGTCCCCCAGTGCTCTGGGGCCTCCTCCCGTATTCCCACCCTGCTCCCAGGAGCCTCTGGCCCGCCCCTATCAGCCTGCTCAGCCAGAGACTGGGGTCTCTGAGGGCCTTCCCCCAGTCCTAGGAGTTCCTTCCACTGTGTTCCTGTGGGGGGGGGGGCTCTCTCTAAACCCTCGAGCTTATGCTGGGCCACCTCCCAGCGTCTCCTAGAGCCCCTTCCTCAGCTGCGCTGGCGCAGGGGTCTCTAAGCCCTTCCCATAGTGTCTTGGGACAGGGTTTGTGTGAGTCCCTGCACACTGCGCTCCTGGCTTCTCAGGAACCGCCACACGCCCTGAAGGAGCCCAGCCCCACCCAAGGGAGTAGGCTCTGTGGGGCAGGTTCCCAGGGGGGGAGGGTCCCCCATCACCCAGGCTTCACAAGCAGACCCGCCCACTCTTGGCTCCTTTACCCGAGTGTTTAGCCCGAAGGAAGCCCCCCACCCCCGCCAGCGCGCTGCCAGGAGGACCGCATCACAAGGTCCCCACGCGAGCCCCCAAAGTTTCCACGAGGGAGGGGC